AGAAGAAGAAGAAGAAGAAGAAGAAGAAGAAGAAGGGGGAAGAGGAGGAGGGGGAGGAAGATGATGATGATAATAATGGTAATAAAAAATAATAATAATGAAATAAATAAGAAATATAATTTTTTTTAACTCTTCTGTTATGATAGCGCAGAGTTAACCAAAAATATTACAGTAGGCCTGTTTGATAAAGAATGAATTCGAAAGTTGTTAATTTGTTACTGCATATATGGTAATAATTATAATTAATTAGCTAAAACAAAACAAAAAAGAAAAAAAATTGTATTTTGGACAAACAGAATGTTTCCGATTTCTTACGTTCGTGACGAATGGCGACATGTTTTCTGCGGAAATCACACAGGAAACTCCAACTGTTCATCTACAAATGGGACGAACTGACCAATGAGGAACACCCGGCTGAGATCGTCCTAGACGTGTTTGTACGGGCAGTGGCCGAGGAGCTGGAGATCATGAAGACCAACCCTGACATCATCGACGAGGTAACGGGTCATTCCTTGACAAATGAAAATGTGCAGATACACGAAACCTGAAAATGATGGCATACTGAAAAGAGTTCTAATCAGTGATCATCATCATCATTGCCTTTCTCTATCCTGGGCTAGCAGCCTCTTGATGTTATTCCCTGGCTTCCCACTTTTCTGTTCATTAATTAACTGGGATTCTTCTCCTGGCTCCATGTGGTCTTCTCCTTGATCTCCTACCCTGTGGATTTCAATCCAACACTTTCTTTTTTACGCAGCTGCCTGACTTCCTAAGAGTATGTCCAATCCATCGCCACCGCCTTCTTCCTACCTCATCTCTGACTGGGATCTGTCTTGTTTTCCTTTAGTAAAACACTTCCTCGTTGTGGACCCTGTCGGTCCGTCAGATCCTCGGTAACTTTCTTAATTAGACACTTGTTCAAGAAAACCTGGATCCTATTTATGCAAGTCTGTAATATGTTCCATGACTCACATCCATTCAACAGAACTGACTTCACATTTGAATAGAAATTCTTCAGCTTTGTTCGAAGTGAAATATCTCTGGTCTTCCAAATCCTATCCAAAGATATGAAAACAGCCTCTGCTTTTCCAATGTGGGACTTTATTTCAGCACCTGTACCTCCCTCTCTGTCAATTATACTCCCAAGATAGCGGAAGGATTCAATGTCTTCTAGTGCATTTCCTTCTATTGTGACCTGCTCATTTCGTTGCGAATCTGTCCTTAGGACCTTTGACTTTCGTGGGTGGATCCTCAATCCAACAGACTCTGATAGTCTTGGCTTGCATCTATTTTTGGGTGTGCGACAGAAGCGCCAAGTCGTCTGCAAAATCCAGATCGTCCAACTGTGTCCATGGGGTCCATTGTATAACGTTTCTCTGCCTTCTGGTGGTTTCCTTCTTCAGCCAGTCGATTGCCAAAATGGAGAGGAAAGGTGATAGCAAATATCTCTGTCTCACACCAGTCTCGATGTCATAGTTGTCGGTGAGTTGGCCATTATGTACAACCCTGCAACTTGTCCTTTCGTACATGCTCTTGATAAGGTTCACCAACTTCTGTGGGATTCCGTGGTGTCTCATTATCTTCCCTAGTGTTGCTCTGTCTATACTGTCAACGGCCTAAGCAGTGATAGAGACATTATTTTCTTTCCGTTTGTCTGATTTTAAGTTTGTTTATTTCTTGGAGGCAACCTTCCTCTTATTTTTTTTTAAACGGAAAAAAACAACCAATAAACCATCACTACCTTAGCATTATAAAGTTCTATCATTTTTTACCGCTTTCAATAACTAAGACTGTGAGGTCAGAAACCAAATGTGAGGTGCGCTGACAAAATGAGTTACTTTTCCGATTTTAGCCATATGGAAATTGATACATCAACTATATAGTTGAAGTTTGTACAATTTGTAAGTATGGAAGAATAAAAGACATGGTAGACTTGAACAAAATGGCATCAATTAGAAATCTATAAATCGGACCTCAGTGTCGATTTTCGGCCGGTATCTCCATTCCTGGACAGCGAGAAGTAACTTATTTTGTCAGCAAACCTCACAAATGTTCTATCTGCTCTGTCAAAATCGTAAGATAATTCGGAGTCATTATCAAGATATTGAAAGAATTGCATTCAAAAAGGCTTGAAATGTTGTGAAACTCAAAAGTTTTGTCAAATTTCTCAAATCCAGTTACTGGTCAGATAAAACTTGATAATTCTAAGATAGCTATCTATGTATGTATTTTCCAGGATTTTGCATTATCCAGATGTTCAAAGAACTGCATTAAAAAATGCTTGACATGTTGTAAAACTCAAATTTTTTGTTGAATTTCTTTAAAAAAACCCAGTTACTTGGCAGATAAAACTTGGTAATTTTAACCCTTCCAGCCCCGGCTATTTTTGTGCACTCTCTAACCCCAGTCCCAGCCAATACAGCAGTATATTAGAAAAAGAATCATGCATTCTAAAAAGAGATGCAATATCTTTATAATGAGGTTTAGATAATAACGTATAACAATGTTTAAAGCAAAGGTAAATGAATGAATGTTATGAAAATTAAAGTTTAATTAAATTCACTAGTTTCGAAAAATGCGCATATTCGGTACCCCCTGAAACTGAAAATATACGCTCTTGGGACGGTTGGGGGGGGGGGGTGGGGGGGGGGGGGGGGTTACAAGCGCTGCTGAATGTATGCGTGCTTTAGGATGGAAGGGTTAAGATAGCAAAGTATGTATTTTCCAGGACTTTGGCATGGTGAGCAGCTGGGCCGAGAAACGTCACAACGCTTTGCTGAGCAGGCGTTTGCTGCGGACTATCCCCATATCAAACATTGTGGTGAGCGGCTCGGAATTCTGGACCAGACATTTCCCCGATGAGGAGCGTGTGGAGTGGATCAGGTCTGTTGATGCTGCTTGCTGGCGTGTATGTCCATGCTGCTTGCTGGCAGGTTTTTTGGTAATATAGTAGAGGGTTATACGGCGCTCGCAATTAACTGCATAAGGTCATTTCAGCACCAAGGGTTGGTGTCAACAGAGAAGTCTTTACAGGGAATCAGACTTAGACTGCTCACCTCTCTAGCTTCAACAGCACAAAGTCTGCTTCAACTATCAAGGCACTCCAGAAATAGCCGGTCACAAGAGAGTGACAAATATACAAAAGAAATAGAGGAAAAATGACAATAGTAAGGATCAGTGTTGTAGATCAGGCACAGTTATGAGCGTGACATGATGAGTCAGCCCATTTACAATTCTATTATAATGCTTGAACGAGAAATGTCCACCCTTTGGGAATGGCCTAAAGACACTTCAGTCAGTGGCACTGCCCCGGTGGGTCGTTGCTAGCGTGTATGTCCAGTTGACAATGATTATAACTATGGTGATGACTATGACAATGACATAACAACAATTGCAAGGACAGTGATTTTGGTAATGGAAAATAATGGCTTGGAATTGACTACGAAAATTACAATATCAGTGACACTGACTATGACTGTGACTATGATACGTGTAACGACTTTGACTTTAACAATGATAATCTGTCTCCGTCGTTTTATGCGAGAAAAGTTCTGAAATTATGCAAGCAGAGCCCAAAAATGTGAAATTATGCGATTCTGTTAATTTTAGCAAGAATGATAAAGGAAAATAATCAGAAATTATGCAAATAATTATCAAATTTTGCTAAATTTTGCGGGGTGCATAAAACCACGGGGACAGGATAATGGTAGTGGAAATTAATTGCTATGGCAATGACTATGGCATTGAATGTGAAAGTGACAATGGAAGTGACTATATTTATGACTATGATAATGGTATGGACATTGGCGATTACAATGAACATTGCAATAGCCTTGACTTGAACTATGAAAAAGAAAATAGCATTGACAATAACAATCTTTATTCATCTTGCAAGAAGAAATTGTGAGGCAGCGTTGTGGAATCAGGCTCTCATCAAAATAATCAAAGTGAAGAAACTTGCATTTTTCAGCAGGTTTTTGCATTTTAATCAAATTTTTGTGTTTTTGGCTCAACACCTTTCATGCCCATTAAAGAACTCGTTTCTGTGTGGATTTTTCTGAAGAACGTCGATTAAAGGCACAAAAAATGTAAATTTTCAGTTACCACGGAATCTTAAGCTAAGGAAATAACTAATCTTTGGCGGCCATTTTCTCACAAATTTTACCCCTGAAAACATGTGACCCCCACCTCCTTCTTTCGCAAATATCTCGACTTGTATTCAAGATAAATGGATATTTTTTTCATCCAAATAAAGACAAAGGAACAAGCTTTAAGACGATACCAATAACTCTACATGCTCAGAAATTGACGAGAGCCTGATTCCACCACACTGCCTCACTATTTGTCTCAGTCTTTAACAATGGCGGTGGGTTAAAAAGTTCATGTTCACTTAAGCATAGATACAAAAAAAAATAGAAATAAGTATTACCTGCTGAAAAATTGCTTCCTAAACATTCTCTCGACATTTTCTGAAGATTGAAAAAGTTTGCTTTGGTTTTTCCCCCAACATTTGCCTCGCCAGCTCGCTACTATCCTTGTCTTTGCCACCCCATCTTGTTCTGTGCTGCGTGAAGAACGCCTATAGCCATCTTGTTTTCCTTGATCATATTCCATAAACTGAATCTGCAGTCCTGTCTTTTGATACAAATCTCCACACACAAAAAAACTAATAGTACAAGCCTTTTCTGGTAACGAACATTAAAGTCAACTGTGTTGTTGTCGCAAGAAATGTGAATGACCAATTAATTGATCCCCCAACCTAATCTTGTTACAAAAAGAATTTGTCTAGTGGGTTTTTTAACGTGTCCACGTAGTTTCGTGGCGTCGGTGGCCTAGTGGTTAGGCTACCGGACTCGTAATCGTGAAATTGCGGGTTCGGGGGTTCGAGCCTCAGCTCGGTCCGACGTTGTGTCCTTGGGAAAGACACTTTACACGAACTTCCCACTTGGCTCGGTCCTATCGGAGACGGACGTAAAACTAGGAGGTCCCGCCCCTTAAATAACCTAATAGTGTTGATATGGGCGTTAAACCCATACCAATACCACGTAAGTTTCAAATGCCAAACTTTGACTTTCCTGCTACCGTCGAACCGGTCCAAGATGACCACCCATAGTGGAGGAGAAAAGTTGTAATGTAAGACAGATGGACTTTGCGGACCATGGCATTATCATCATCATCATCCAGTGCCAGATGTGCGGCTGACATCGGCGATCATGGTTCTCCATTCATTCCTTTGCTTGGATGCTCTAAAAAAAATAGCTACATTTCCCTGATCTTTCCCTGTTACCCATTTGTTTAGGTTCCCTAAGTATGTTGTTCTGGGCCTACCCCTGCCTCGCTTGCCCTCAATTTTGCCAGTGAGAGCTAGATGTTCAAGACCCTTTATGTCTATTCAGGTGTCCCAAAACTGCATTTGTCGTTTCCTGATTGTTTTTAACATTGAGCGTCCCACGTGGGCTTCATCAAGCACTACCTCTTTCGATTTCTTTTCCTTCAATGATACTCTTAGCAGTCTCATAAGAAACCACATTTCTTTAGCTTCTATTTTATTTTCACTGTCTTTAGTGACTGTCCAGCATTCGCAGCCATTTTGAAGGGTTGACCAAACATAGCTTTTGAGGACTTTCATTTTGGTGTTCATTGAGATGTTTCTTTTTTTCAGGACTATTATTATAAAGCTACTAAAACACATAAAGGGGGCGGGAAGTGGTTGTTCATACAAGTGGAGATAAGAGCAGGTTTGACTGTTTTTCCTTTGACAGCAGTTGCCTTTATAGTCCACTGTCCAGACGAAATAACCCGTCACTAATTGTAACAGAAATAATAAACTGACCCGAATATGGTATAATTTTGTACAGTGTATCTTAACATCACAATATACAGTTTATTGCAAACAGAAATTCTGTTGCAATTAGTGACGGGTTAAGGTGATTTTTGTCGTAGGGACAGTAGCCTATTATAATAAACTTTTAAAACTCTCCAGTATAAAGATTATTTTTCGTGCTGCCTCCGAAATGATCCATCAAAGCTTCCATTGTCGATTCATAAAAATAAAATTCAATGCGTGCTTCTTCATGTCTCCAGGTTTCGCAAGGCGTTCGTTCAAGAGTTCAGCAGCCACATGAACTCCTCAATTCCTCGTGCCGGACATGTGCATGTGCTGGAGAGTCTCCGCAGAGAGATCGGAGTGGATGACCAGAACTTTCTTACCAGGGTGGACTTTATCAGTCAGTAAAAAAGAATAAGAGAATTCATTTCTTTTTTTATTTAGTAGAGGTTTTACGGCGCTCGCAACTGCATAAGGTCATATGAGCGCCAAGGGGTGGGTGTCAACAGAGAAGTCTTTACAGGGAATCAGACTTATTCTGCTCACCTCTCTAGCTTCAACAGCACAAGGTCTGCTTCGACTATCAAGGCACCCCGGAAATACCAAGTCACAAGAGAGTGACAAACATACAAAAAAAGTAGAGGAAAATGACAATAGTATGGATTAAGAAAGAAAAAGCAGCAGTGTTGTAGATCAGGCACAGTTATGAGCGTGACACGAATCAGCCCATTTACAATTCTACTGTGCTTGAGCGAGAAATGTCCCCCCCTTTGGGAATGGCCTAAAGACACTTCAGTCAGTGGCACTGCCCGCGGGGTAAGAGAATTAAAAAGACCAGCTGGTTGCAACATCAACACAGTAGATTCTAAAGCACATTGTTAAAAATCTTCAGAAAATATTGTGCTACTTGTCTTGGTTCTTGTTTTAGTAGAGGCTTTACGGCGCTCGCAACTGCATAAGGTCATATGAGCGCCTGAAGATTAGATATGTTGTTACAAGAGAGTAACAAACACAAAAAAAGGAGGGGAGATTAAGACGATAGATGTTTGATAGGAAAGAAGAAGCAAACCACACCAGAGCACCCGCCAACCACCCATTGTTGGAGGGCTACATCCTGCTGTGGATAAACAACACCTAGAAAGAAAGAAAGAAAGAAAGAAAGAAAGAAAGAAAGAAAGAAAGAAAGAAAGAAAGAAAGAAAGAAAGAAGAAAGAAAGAAAGAAGAAAGAAAGAAAGAAAGGAAATATTACCACTTGTGAACTCACCTTCATATGTGTATAAATATACTTGAACTAATATGAATGAGCATCAAGTCACTTAAATTAAGAGTAGTAAATCAGTCACTGAAAGAATGAGGGAGGGAATGAGTCAGTCAGTCAGTGAAGGAATGAATGAGTCAGTCAATCCGTGAAAGAAAGTGTGAGTGAGTTAGTCAGTGAAAGAGAGAGTGAGTCAGTGAAGGAATTAATGAGTCAGTCAGTCAGTCAGTCATTGAAAGAGAGAGTGGGTCAGTCAGTTAGTGAAAGAGAGAGCGAGTCAGTGAAGGAATGAATGAGTCAGTCAGTCTGTCAGTCAGTGAAAGAGAGAGCGAGTCAGTGAAGGAAGGAATGAGTCAGTCAGTCAGTCAGTCAGTCGGTGAAAGAGAGAGTGAGTCAGTCAGTCAGTCAGTGAAAGAGAAAGTGGGTCAGTGGAGGAAGGAATGAGTCAGTCAGTCAGTCGATCAGTGAAGGAATGGTTGAGTCAGTCAGTCAGTCAATCAGTGAAAAAAAGAGTGGGTGAGTCAGTTAGTGAAGAAATGAATGAGTCAGTTAGTCAGTCAATCAGTGAAGAAATGAGAGAGTGAGTCAGTCAGTCAGTGAAGGAATTAGTGAATCAGTTAGTCAGTTAGTAAAGGAATGAGTGGCTCTGTTAGTTTATAAATCAACAAAATAGTGAGTCTGTCAACCAATCAGTCAGTCAGTCAGTTATTCAGTCAGTCAGTTATTCAGTCAGTCAGTTATTCAGTCAGTCAGTTATTCAGTCTGTCAGTTATTCAGTCAGTCAGTCATGGATAGAAAAATGTTAACCCCCTCCATTGACACAATTAATTGATTTATCAAGAGGGCTGCCTCACAGTGATGGCACCATCATACCAATCAGAAAAAGGGTGTCACAAACTGACAATTATTTGTTTTTAAAAAATATAAAAAAATTAAAAGACAGGACCAGGGTTATTTCATTCTCTTATTTGATTAGATGCTTTTAAGACATAAGATAAGATACATAATTAATATTGTATAATTCTTCGAAGTAGGGGAATGTGGATGTTGAGATTTTGCATGCTTTCCGTATTAATCAATTCAATTTCCTTTATCTTGTTGTCTTGTGTTCCCAGCCCGAGCTGTTATACAGAAACTGATCACAGTTTCTAAGATTGAATGACAGAATATGGACATCAATCATTTATCATCTTTAAAATACATGAGCTTCCTTAGACAGAACAGTCTTTCGTTCGCTTTTTTAAGCAGGAGAGAAGTGTGGACACGCCAGTCGAGTTTATTGTCTATTGTAACACCCAAATACTTATAATCTGACTCTTGCTCGATGTTTTCATTTTCAATTTCGAGTGGCTTTTTCGTAACTTTTCTTTAATAGTCATGCCCCAACAGACGTCATGTTATATTTCATCTATTTTCTTTTTCTTTTATTGTTTTCTACAGTGTTTTCAACAGAGGAAGAAACGTATCTGGACTTGTGGGAGAAAACTCTGAGCTTAGCAAGAGAGAACCTAGCCTTGAGAGACGTCTTCGATGTAGAGTCATCTGTGAGAACGGTGGCAATTGAGAATATTGGTGAGAACTTCAATCTGTTACCTCCTATCATGTTATCATGACACTTTTCCCCTTCTCTCTCTCTCTTCCCCCCCCCCTCTCTCTCTCTCTCTCTCTCTTTCTCTCTCTCTTCCCCTTCTCTCTCCCCCTCTCTCTCTCTCCCTCTCTCTCTCTCTGTCTCTCTCTCTGTCTCTTTCTCTGTCTGTCTCTCTCTCTGTGTCTCTCTCTCACTCTCTCTCTCTCTCTCTCTCTCTCTCTCTCTCTCTCTCTCTCTCTCTCTATCTATCTCTCTCTCTCTCATCCTCCCTCCCTCCCAACATGTGTTACTCTTTTTACCCTATCTCTCTCTCTCTCTCTCTCTCTCTCTCTCTCTCTCTCTCTCTCTCTCTCTCTCTCTCTCTCTCTCTCTCTCTCATGCACTCACCTACTTCCTCCCTGCTTACAGAACATGGTCGATCTATGGACAAACACAAGGTGAAGTTTGCTTCTTCTTTCTTATCAAACCTCTAACGTCCTGATCTCTCCTCCTTTCTTTTATCGTTTTTGTTTTGTTTTTTTGAGTTTGTTACTCTCTTGTAACTCCTCTAATCTTCGGCACTTATTTGACCTTATCATGTTGCAAGTGCTGTAAAACTCATACTTTTAAAAATGAGGGGGAAAAAACAGATCGGCTTCTTAGTGCAAAAAGTATACATAAGTAGTGCAGTGTTTTAATTTACTTGGTGTATTTTCAAATTTACCTGACATATTTTCAAATCTACATAATATATTTTCAAATTTACATGACATATTTTCAATTCTACATAATATATTTTCAGATTTACCTGACATAGAGTATAAAACATTACAATCGTAAATGTCCTGATTCATCTATGTCATGCTATGCTCATAACTGTGCCTGAACTGCAACAAGGAACTGCTGCTTTTTCTTGCCTAATCCTTACTATCGACATTTTTCCTCTACTTCTTGTGTATGTTTGTCACACTCTAGTGACCCGCTATTTCTAGGGTGCCTTGATAGTCGAAGCAGACTTTGTGCTGGTGAAGCTAGAGAGGTGAGCAGAGTAAGTCTGATTTCCTGTAAGGACTTCTCTGTTATGGATGTAGGCCTACATAATAATTATACAGCTAGCTGCTTCTGTGGAAAGAGTGAGGGGGAGGGGGGGGGGGGGGGTATTTTACCGACCTTGCTTTTTTCTGTTTTTTATTATTATTGTCATTATTATTTTGTGCACCTCAAACTTCATTGACTTCAGACCTCTACAGAGACGTAATTCCATGTTTGTGTTTGAGCTCCGCGTTATTTTCTTACAAAAATAAAGAAGAAAAAAAAAACCGGGACCGCAGGCACAGTTCGTCGACGGATGCGTGATTTCGTGTAATCTGTGTTCGACCAATCAGGATTATACTGTATGTTTAAATCTACATGATATATTTTCAAATTTGCGTTATAATATTTTCGATTTCAGGCCTACATGATATATTAATATATTCTCACGCAGGCGAAAGAACATATGGCAGCACGACGTATAAATAACTCCTTTACTTCCTCGTCCGAGGTTTTCCTTGCCTTTTGATTTATATAAGGTTATAGAGTAGGTCTGGCAGTCAATGGGTTTAATTTACATCATGTGTAATATGTGTCAAGACAGGGTGGAGTCAGGCGCTCGTCAATTTTTGGACATTTGGAATAATTGGTGTCATTTTAAAGCTTGTTCCTTGGCCTTGCTTTCAGAGAAAAGAGTACTGAATCTGTCATGAATAGAAGTCGAGATATTTGCGATTGAAGGAGGTGGGAGTAGCCTGGTTTCAGAAGTAAAATTAGCGAGAAAATGGCCGCCAAATTTTGGCAACTTCCTAGGCTTGAGAGTGTTTACAAACAGCAAATTAACATTTCTGTGCCTTAAATCAAAATTTTTCAGTAAAATCCAAACAGAAATGTTGTTTTATACCGACCTTAAACATGAGTCACAAAACAAAAATTCGATGCAAAATTGTCAAACGACAGAAAAACGCCAGTTTCTTCGATTTCTTTATTTTGACGAACGCCTGATTTCACAACGCTGTCTCACATATTATAATATATTTTCCCTCATGTGTCCACGCAGGCAAATTCGGCAGCCCATCTGTGATGGCAGCCCTACGGGACCTTCTGGAAGACCCTGACGCCAATGTCCGGGCGGTGGCTACAGTGTCTCTGTCCAGGTGTATGGTACCGGGCGATGAAGTGACCTACTCCGCACTCCTCAAGTCTTTGGATGACAAGGACAGGCTGGTGAGGGAGGCTGGCTGCCTTGCCATGGGTCATTTGAAAGATTCACGAGTTGTGCAGAAACTCATTGAAATGTGGTGAGTGAGCTTTGCAGGATATATTAAGAGTCTTTCTTCTTCTTCCTCGTTCTCGATGACAGAAGCTAGACAGTCAATCCGATATCGTGCACACTGTGCAGTCCGCTTCAAATCTAAGAGACCACCATAGAGCTTTCTCAAGGGGAGTCACCTTCTGATATTATGAGTAATTTTACACCAATAAATAATGAATTTGTAGAAAGGCGATCATTGTCGCAATAGTTGCTGCAGAAATGATGATGATATTTTTTTTGTTTCCTTAATGGGCCTGACAGACTCCGCGAAGAAATCTTCGAGCGAGAGCGAGGCTCTTTTTCG